AAAAAAAATACAGCCTCTCCCCCCTCTCAGTTAGTTTCAATTGCCTGTCATTAGGACAAGCGTTGTAGTCCAGGGGAAATAATCCAAAAATAACTCCTGGTACAAGGCGTTCATACCGATTACCTCCCTTGTCCTAGACCACAAAGTAAGGGACGTCATCGTGATCTCCACAGTCGGGTACAGGGCTGCCATTCTTAGTTTATTACCACTAAATTTAGTGTTTTTGGGGGTCTATTTAGTGTTTTAGTTGGGTTTTTTGGGGGCACATTTAGTAGTTTTTGTTGTTGATTTGGTTTGTTTTTCTTACAACAATAGTACAAAATCGATTAGATAAATGTGTCAATCTTTTGTTAAAAGTTATAAACCGAACCCCCCCCAAAAAACACACAAAAAACACACAACAAAAAAACAACAACAACAACACTAGCTATTGCGAAGAGTTATCTCCTTTATAAACATAAATAGTGTAAATCTATGTCAAGAATCAAGAGATTGCATTATTATTGCCTTTTGGCTTTTAAGTCTATCGTTTGGCTGTGGCCAAATGGAGCGGAATTCACCATTGAATATGTTTGACACAGCCGAAATAAAGAAGCAGCTATTACAGCAAAAGAGGCAGGGAAGAATAAATATTATGTAATATAAAGCAGATAAAAAAGAAAAAGTTTTTTTTCGTCCCATTTGGTGGAATTTTGTTTAAAAAATCTAGTAGTTTCTTAAAAATCTGGATGGCAACACTGGTCGGATTAGTCAGCATCCTTCAAGACGGCCGCCCATTGTCGAGGAAAATGGCGCTTGTTTTAGACAGGTGGATGGGGGCTCTCATGGCCTGGAGGTTAACCCTACCCGTACGCGTTGGGGGTCATTTTCACATTTTAGAATGCTTCTAGTACCGTACGAAGGTCTTTTTGAAACTTTTAGTCTCAAAAAATCTTTTTGACAAACTGCAATGCAAAGCGTACGGATCGGATTAACGAGGAAAGTCTGGGATGACACCTAGGCAAGGCAAGGCAAGGCAAGTCATGCATTTGAAAAATAAATCTGGAATTGAAAATACAATCAGCGTTACATCCAAGATTCACAAGCTATGAAGTTATTGTAATATAGACACACTAATTCCTTCAACTTTTCTTCATTGAGGTGTCGTCTCCTCTCAGAAAAAACAAGATTGTAAATGGAGAAACTCCTCTCTGCATCAACAGAATTCAAACAAGTCAAATGTATAAACTTTTTAACTACTTTGGCTAAATGAGAAACACCTTCACTAACACTGTTCCAAAAGACAGTAAGATCAAGTGGAATAACTCCTGATGTCTTCACAGCTTTTGGACCAAGAGATTCTCTCTCATGGTTTGTGTAGCTGGCACTTCTTTCAGGCCAGGCAAATCAAGAGTATCAATATTGTCAAAAAAATCAATCTGGTAGGATCAAAAAAGGGTAAATCCTTGATTAGCTTGATTCCTGGCTGGCCCTCCAAGGACATGTACTTCTCAAGCTTCAGGTTGACTGCAGAAAATACTTGACAATATTTATCCTGAAGGCCCATCCTCAAATTCTGATCCAGCCCCTCATGGAAATGCGTTGACACCTCTAGAAAAGACTCACCATCCTGGAGTCAAATGTTGCAAGGGGAATAAAACAGCTTGCCCCCACTTACGTGCGTCCATCTAGTAAACTCGGTATGCCGTTGGAGTGCTGTTACATGTCGACCAGATTTGTTTTCAGAAATGTTTCCATTGTTATTGCAGTTGCACTTCTGCGATCACGTCAGAAAGAAAATTATGAAAGACAAGGCGCTGCGGTTGCACGGTTAACGCTGCAACAGTGTACACGTGTCAGCGGTAAAAAATAGTAGCCCAAATATGATTAGAATCACAGAACTCTATTAATTCTGTGATTAGAACAGAGATCTAGACTGCATATGAAGTTCAGAAAGAAGGGAAACAATTCTGACAGATTTCCAAGGGCCTGATGTGAAATTTGAGTTCGAGAACGGATCAAATGAAAGAAAATATTTCTGAAAACTACGTTTTTTGTAAAAAATTGCGGTAGTTTGCGGAGAGCTGCAAAATTTGCGTCCGCGAAAAACCACGATGACAGCTAGGAGAGACAGTCTGTAAAGTTATGGGATACAACTACTGGATAAACAAGGCTAGGATAGACAGTCTGTGGAGTTAAGGGACGCGAATGCTGGATAATCAAGACTAAGATAGACAGTCTGTGAGGTTAAGGGACACAACTACTGGATAACCAAGACTGGAACAGTCTGTGAGTGCTTAAAAGTGCCCGGCATACCTCAAATCTCTGACTGACACAAACCAAACGCTAACATTGTTAGAATCCCTCAAGCCATCGTCTCCTTTCATGGAGACACCATTAACACATTCTGCCGTTAGACCCCTCCCACTAAGACGTTTTCTGCACCCTTTCTACTGCTACTCCTTGGCTCCTTCTTACTGCTGTCTTTCAGCCATACCCCTTATCTTATGGTAGATAAGGTCTACACCTAGCCTTCTTGGACATGGGCGAAAAATTTTGGGAGGTCCTGTGTGCACATTGGGGATCACTTGGTGGTCCAAAAATTGATAAGAGTAGGCTTCGGCCTCCACCCAGGCAACATTCAAAACTTCTTACCAACTGAAAATGTTTGTTTTGTCCCGAGCGCTCACATAAACTAATATGCAGTTGAGAGTGCCGTAAAACACTTGCCCTAAAACATGTCCGACCGGCTAACAGTATCCACAGTTTTGTCTGGCCCGCGAGAAAAAGCTCGGTAGTCCGAGCAGAGATTCTCATCAGCACAAAACCTTTCTCATGACACTAACGATTTTCTTACAGAATTAACCAAGAAAAATTGCCAAACATCCAGTTCTGACAAAATCAGCGAACATTTTTACCAAGCTAATTAAGAAAAATTAGCAAACATTCAGCTCTGACAAAAAAGTAAATTAATATTCTTAGAAAGTTAACAAAGAAAAGTTGGCAAACAACCAGCTCTGACGAAAGAGCCAATGCACAATTGTTATAACTCACTTTGTAATTATTATTTCACCTTTCCACACCTCTGATCTTATGGTAGGAGATATCTACACTTCGCTTTCTCGGACAAACGCGAAAAATCCCCGAGGTCTCGTGTAGACGTTGCGCACCTTAAATATACCATGGTGGTCCAAAATCGAAAAGAGTAGGCATCAGCCGCCACCTGGGCAAAATTCAAACTTTCCGACCAACTTTAATGTGTCCTGTGCGCTCATATGACCCTATGCAGTTGCGAGCGCCGTAAAACACTTACCAAAAAAAAAAGAATCTCAGCTTGGCCCCTTGATCCACTGAGTCGGTCAGCTCGGGCGTAAAGTTTCTGCGACTGATTTAAATTGATCTGCTTGAGAAAAGAAACTTGTCATTATGTTTTCTCGAGAAAAGAAACTTGTCATTATGTTTTCTCGCACATCACACTCAAGCGAATCTATTCAGCTAGAAGGACCATAGTTACTGCCCACAAGGACAAAAAGCTGTAGTTTTACTATTGACTCTCTACAAGAAAACGCCTTGTTAATGTTGAAAATCTTCAAAATCCCAAAAAGTAGTATGCCTTGAAAATTAATTTTGACAGAAAGCTAATTTTTTTCTTAATAATTTCATTTTGAGAGCTACATTTAATGTCAACATCTAGCGCCAGATCTGCGACAGACATCAGCGTTCATGGTTCTCCATTCATTCCTTTGCTCGGATGCTCTTAAAAAAGCTACGTTTTCCTGATCTTTCCCTGTTACCCATTTATTGTTTAGGTGCCGTAAATAAGTTGCTCTGGGCCTACCCCTCTTTGTTTTCTTTCAATTTTGCCAGAGAGAGCTAGATATTCAAGACCCTTATTATGTCAATTCAGGTGTCCCCCAAAAACTGCATTTGTCATTTCCTGATTGTTTTTAACAGTGGGCGTCCCACGTGGGCTTAATCAAGCACTACCTCATTTGATTTCTTTTCCTTCCACGATACTCTTAGCAGTCTCTTAAGAAACCACATTTCTGTTGCTTTTATTTTATTTTCACTGTCTTTAGTGATTATCCAGCATTAACTACCAATCAGAAGGATGGACCATACATAGCATTTCAAAACTTTCATTTTGGTAGCCATTGAGACGTTTCTATTTTTCAGGATCGGGCTCATTTTATTGAAACTAGCCTTAGCCATTGTGGTTCTCCTTTTTATATCTGTGGAAGATTTGGCATCAGATGTTATCATATATCCTAGATATTTAAACTGTTGGACTTATTTGATCTTTCCACCGTTGCTAATGAGATTACAACTAGGATTTGCTGCTTTTTTTATATAACCGTGCATTCTGTTTTCTTTACATTCAACAATAATCCTTTCCCCTCACTTTCTGTTACAACAGTATCTAGAAGCGATCGAAGGTCCTTTTCTGAGTCTGCTATTAAAACTGTGCCATGGACATACTTTAATGTTATTAATATTTTCTCCCTTTACTTTGAGATTTGGACATTTTTTAAGTTTCTAGGGATTAAAGAGGTCAGCTGACATAACAAATCCTTGCCTCACTCTTCCTCCTCTTCTAATCTGCTTATATTCACCGTATTCTCCATTTTATGTACTCGACGAATAAATGTGTTAAAATCAGTAAACAATTTTGGGCCCTCATTTTCCCTCTTTTTAAAATATTCGTTTGTTGGGGTCTTTTTTATCGTAAAGTTTCAGCCCCGGAATGTTCGACCTCAGAGTTTATTTGATAGGGTCAGGTCATTTCTTGATTTCTTCCCGCATTGTCTGACCCGCTGATGGGCGGGTGGGTGGCTGGCGGGTGGCTGGCTGTGGTCATCTGGTAGAACGTTTCCCGGAAGGAGGAGCTCATGGCCAGAAACACGAACAGGTTGATGGCGCTGTTGGTGAGGTCAAGGACGAACACAGAATAGGAGACGATCTGAGGAAGAGAAAATTTTAGACTTTAATTTTTATTTGCTCGGCAAATCAGAGACCAGCTATTCAGATGTTGTGCACTCCGTTTATTGATTTCTTTTTTTCTTTCTTTCTTGAGTGATTAATTAATTAATTAATGTAATTATTTTTAAAAAATTTATTTTATTTTTTAAATTATCTATTCATTTATTTTTAAAAGATTTATTTCTTTGTTTCTTTGTTTCTTTGCTTGTTTCTTTGTTTATATTTATATATTTATTTGTTTAATCATTCATTTTTAAATTATTTTATTTTAGTTTCTTAATCTGTGGTATTGGTTGCACGGCCCGAGAAACACTTTGTTGAAATTCCAATTCTAAATGTTGAAAAAAGAAGCTCAAAGATGCATAATTTAGGTGCAAACTGTGAGAAAAGGTAACTACTTTAACTGTCAGCACGCTTCCGCTCCGTGTGGCAGCGTTACCTTCTCTTTTTTACTCTTTGTTTTATTAGCGTTTTGCAGCACTGGCGACACAATTAGGTCATGTAAGTACCGAAGTTTCGAGGTGTTACAAGAGAGAGGCAAGCTCACACAAAAAGAAGAAGGAGAGATAAGGAAGATAGATGTTTGATAGGAAAGAAGGAGGAGAAATAAGGACGGTAGCTGTTTGAAAGGAAAGAAGGAGGAGAGAAAAAGACGACAGATGTTTGATATGAAAGACGGAGGGGGGATTAGGACGATGGAATAAATGTTTGATAGGAAAGAAGGAGCAGACCAGATCAGAGCACAAATCCAACCACCCACTTTAACTCTTTGGGGTCGAGGCAAACACAACTATTTAGTATTCCCAATCATCAGCAGATGACAGACGGGAACATTCAAACCACCAAAGCACCAATAAATAAATAGAAACAATTTACTCTACTTTACTGTACTTTACTTTACTTTACTTTACTTTACTTTACTTTACTTTACTTTACTTTACTTTACTCTACTTTACTTTACTTTACTTTACTTTACTTTACTTTTCCGATCAAGCGGCCATCTGAGTTCTAGCCCTTCGGCCTGTCGACATGGCAAAGAATTTACAACAGATTTCCATCAGCTGTGTTGTTTGTAAAATAGAAACACAAATGATGGCACATTCCATCGTGCGCATGCTGTTATGGGTACATTTCATTTGAAGATAACAGGACTGTAAAGTCTGCGATAGAAATTAAGAAGTTAGGCTTCTTCAAAGACGTTAGGCAAAGAGTTTAGATTTGTTCTAGGTCGCCACGATGGTCGAATGCGTGTATATCGCCGTCAAAATGAAAGGTTTGCTGACCAGTGTGTACATGAAATCCCTAACCTGGGGTATGGGGAGGTGATGGTCTGAGGCGGAATCACAACAGACCAGAGGACGGCACTGGTGCATGCTCCGACAGCATAGAATGGCGCCAACTACGTAGCCATCATCTTGCAACGACATGTGGCACCGTTTATGCAGAACCATCCAGGCTACACCTTACAACAGGACAACGTTCCAGCCCATCGTGCAAGGGTGACACAAGCTTCCCTCGCACAGCAACAATTCGGTTTCATCCATCCCTGGCCAGCAGTATCACCCGACAAGAACCCGATTGAACATGTGCGGGATATTCTCGGGCGTCAAATCCAAGAGATGTATCCCGCTCCTCAGAACAACGCTCAGTTGATTCAAAGCCTAACCAACGCTTGGAACGCTATCCCACAACATCAAATTTCCAACATCGTCAACTCTATGAGGCGCAGATGCCGCGCCGTCGTTGCTGCAGGTGATGGTCACACAAGATAATTAATCCTGCCAAACTTTCAGACATTACCTGAAATGCTTTTGATTTGACCAGTACCAGTGTACTTTGCTATAAGACTTTTCGAAAACCATAATTTAAGTTTTATATGTTAATGTAAAATTTTTTGTTGGAAAAATGCACAATTTCTGATTTTTTAAATTTAGACCCTATCACTTCAGGTGGAGCTTGAAGCACGAGGTGTGTATTATTATGTGCATTAAAATACAGGTTTTCAGATTCAGAAATGCTTTTTCTTTTTACATATAAAATGTTGTCCCTGTGTCAGCAACGGTTTATTTGTTACTTAACACTATTCTTTATGTCAAGTTTCTTTTAGAAATGAGTATATATATAGTATATTTGTGAAAGTTTGTCTCTTTGGTCGCCTAAAACGCCCGAACCACTTAACTTTCGAATTTGAAAAAAAATAAATATTCTAACGATGGTTCAGAATAATTTTAAGGCAGCACAATTATATTAAGGAGTCCGAAGTCACTGTAGTTTAAATTTCAGTTTCTCTTTAGCTTCGTTGAGATCGAATCCTGGTAAAGTCTGTCTTCTAAGACGACATTCCAAACAAGTGAGGCTTCCGTTCGCAAGCGGTACGGACTACTTCCAGAATGACTTGACGTTCGGTTCTTTTCAGTCCGTTCATCGAACGGGTACCCAGCTAGTCTTAGAAAGATACAGCTATGTCTGTGTTGCTGTGCATTATTCAGTCGGCGTTTTTAGGATTGGAAGCTTGTCCCCTAGATGATCTAAATTAATTGTGTAGATGGAGACATAACACAGCCACACACAAAATAGGAGAGTGCTGAGAATTTCTTGGTAGGAAAAAGAAATCAAATTTTGTAGTGCACGTACTTAAAGAAGCCCATGTGGGCCGCTCGCTGACAAAAAAAAAATCATAAAGAAACATGACCAAGGGATGTCTGTGGGACACTTAAATAGACTCAAGGTCCATACAGCACTTAAACATCCGGCTCTCACTGGCAAAATAGAAGGCGAACGAGGCAGGGGTAGACCTAGAGCAACTTACTTGGAGAGTCTAAACAGAATAGGTGACGGGGAAAGATCCCGATCAAATTGTGTCTCTTTGTTTTTTGTTTTTTTAAATATTGTTAAAAATATTTTTAGAGCCTCCGAGAGGAGGAATGAATGGAGAACCAGAATCACCGATGTCTGTCGCAGATCTGACACGAAATGAGATAGTATTACAAGTGGTAATAAGAATTTTGATAAAGCATTGCAAGTAGTGATAAAAATCTTGAGTTAAGCAGTTATCACCAGTTGATAGGACGAGGTCTTACCTTAAACATATTGTGATACTTTCCAAGGAAATAGAAGTCGTCGATGAAAATCCTTACAACGTAGACGGCGATCCGGGGGAACAAACTGACGATGTAGATGGCCACGATGACCAGCAGCATCTTGACCACCTGTCTGTCCCGCGGAGAAAGTTGCCCTCTCTTCTCATCGCGCTCCTGGGAAATTTTTAGTTTTAGTATGAGTTTTACGGTTCTTGCAACACATGTTGGTCATAATGCTTGACGCCAGTGTGGTAGGGTACTACAGATGCGAAGTTTGAGGTGAGTGTGGTGGGGTATTACAGATACAGGGATTTTTAAAACTTGTAGTAAGAGTTTTACGTCTTCTGGAACACAATAAGGTCATATAAGTGCGAAATTAGAGGTGTTACAAGAGAGTAACATACAAAAAAAAGGAGGAGAGATAAGGACGATCGATGTTTGATAGGAAAGAAGAAGCAAATAACACCAGAACACCTGCCAACCACCCGCGTTCCCGAGAATGTTGTTATTTCTTTTTTCTCGGGTTTCACGTCAAGTTGGTTATGACAGATGCAAAAATATGAGATCAGTGTGGTGTGGCATAACAGATATACAAAGTGTGAAGTGAGTGTGGTGTGGTATTACATATATACAAAGTTTTGGTTTTGTTTTAGTAGAGGTTTTACGGCGCTCGCAACTGCATAATATTAAGGTCATAATATGAGCGCCAGAAGATTAGAGGTGTTACAAGAGAGTAACAAACATAAAACAGAAAGAGGGGAGATAAGGACGATAGATATTTGATAGGAAAGAAGAAGCAAACCACACCAGAGCACCGGCCAACCACCCACATACAAAGTTTGAGGTGAGTGTGGTGTGGTATTACACATATATATATATATATATATATGTGAAGCGTGCTGACAAAATGAGTTTCTTCTCGGATTTGAGCCCTAAGGAAATAAATACTTCACGCTTCTAGGTGAAGTTTTAAAATTAATACGTATGAAATAATATAAGGCGTGTTATTCTTTCGAAATATGACTTCAATGGAAAATCTACACATTTGACCCTAGTGTCGATTTGGGGCCAATATCTCCTTTTGTGGATTGTGAGAAGTAACTCATTTTGTCAGCACGTCTCACACACACACACACACACACACACACACACATATAT